AAGTGAATACTCACAACACTGTGAGCAGCAGGAGATGGCTACAAAATCGATCTCCTGGGCTCAGGTGATATTCCCACTTCAGCCCCCTGAATAACTGGAACCACAGGTGGGTGGCACCATACCCAGCTAATTTTTCTTTTTTCTTTTTTTTTTTTTTTTTTTTTTTTTGTAGAGATGGATCCTCACTATATTTCCCAGGCTGGTCTCAAATTTCTGAGACCCGCGCACCCTCCAAAAGTGCTGGGGTTACAGGTGTGAACCACCACACTCAGCCTCTACAGAAAAATTTAAAAATTTGCCAGTGTGGTGGCACGTGCTTGTGGTCTCAGCTGTTGGGGAGGCCGAGGCAAGAGGATCACTTGAGCCCAGGAATTTCTGTCTGCAGCAATCTATGATCATGTCACTGCCCTCCAGCCGGGGTGACAGAGGGAGACCCTATTAAAACACACACACACACACACACACACATGCACGATTATGACTTAATACTGTATCTTTACATTTGTTTACATTTCTCTGGGATCACCATGTACAGTCTGTGTTTGTGTGACTATTGACTAATTTTAACCTTTTATAACAGATTTATATGGTAGTAAATAATAAAATAGAAGCTACATATATTTTATGTTATGCATTCTTGGTATACCTATTTCAATGAATTCTAGTTTTTTGAAATTGTCTCAAATATTCAAGAATATACATCCAATATATTTATTGAAAAAATTCACATATAACTGGACCTGTGCATTTCAAACCTGTGTTATTTAAGGGTCAGCTGCACTGTCATGAAACCACCAACAGTCATGATAGAAAAAATTGCCATTGCCTGATAATATTTTTCTGTACTCTTTCAGTCAGAACCTTCCCCCTCAGACCCCAGGCTCAATAACCAGTGATCTGCATTCTTTTACTCTAGTTTTGCAGCTTCATTTCATATAAATGGAATGATACTGGATGTCAACTTTTGTGTCTGGCTTCTTCCACTTAGCTCAGAGCTTTTCAGATTTATCTATGCTATTTTTGCTTGTATTCATAGTTTATTCTTTTATCTTGTTGAATGGTATTTTATGTTAAGGATATGCCATAATTAATTATTCATTCTTTGATTCATGGACATTTTAGTTTGTGCGTGTGTGTGTGTTTTAAAAACAAATTCTGGTGTTTGGGTTTTATAAATAAAACTGCTGAGCATGCAAGCGTATTTCTAGGACATATGTTTTTGTTCTCATGGGGATATCCCTATAGGTAAGATTCCTAAGCTATATGGCAAGATTATGCTAACTTTAAAGCTGCTACACTGTTTTCTGAAGTTGTTTTACTACTTTTGCAACTTTGTTGAAGAGATTGATAATAGATTGTTGTGTGAGTGTATTTCTGGGTTCTCTGTTCTCTTCTGTTCATTTCTATGTCTGTCCTTTAGCTAATACTGTACCCTCTCAATTACTGTACCTTTATATGTCTTGAAGTCATAAAGATTTTCAGACTTATTCTTATTTATAAAATTGTTTTGGCAATTAGTCTAGGCCTTTTGTATTTCCATGTAACTTTTTAGAATACATTTGTAAATTTTTATTTAAAAGATTAGGTTTTCATCGGGATTGTCTCAACCTATAGAACAGTTAAAGGAAAACTGACAACTTAGAAGTATCAAGGCTCAGATTCAGGAACTTCTTGTGTCATTTATTTATGCCTTCTTTAATGTCTCTCAGGAATATTTTAAAGTTCTTGAACATATTTTGTTAAATTTATTTCTAAATATTTCATATTTTTATGCTATTGCGAAGTACTTTTTTTCAGTTGCCAAGCACGTATTTGCTAGCTATATACCAACTTAGTATAGAGACATCTACTTTTTATACACTGGCCTTTTTATCTTAGGACCTTGCTAAACTCAATTATTAGATCTAGTAGCTGTTTAGTAGATAATTTAGAATTTCCAACATTATCAGGTCATATATAAATAAAGACAGTGTGGGTTCTGCCTTTACAATAGATTTTTTTTTTAATGGGAAGTGATGAATGTTGACATATTTACGTTATTCCTAATGTTGGGGAACATCAGCTTATGAAATATTTGATCACATATATATCAAATGTGCTGTTAGCTATTTGTTTTTCATAGATGTGCTGTATCAGGTAGAAGAAATAACCATCTTGTTCTAGTTTGCTGCATGTATCATAACCTAGTTTTGATTTTTACAAAATAGCAATTTTGTAAAATGCTTTTATTACATTTTGAGATTTTCATTTTACTCTGTTAACATAGATTAAGAAAGAGTTTGAATTGTTTGACCAAATTTATATTCTTGATAAACCTCACTAGGTTATGATTTACTATTGTTTGTATATGGCTGGATTCAATTTGCTAAATGTCTTTTTGTTTTGTTTTAGCACGAGTGCAAGTTTATTTTAAAAGCCTTTAGAACAGGAAAGAAAGGCAAGTATGCTTGGAAGAGACCCAAAGGGGTGATTTGATGGACAAGTGCCCCAATTTGCTAAAACTTTCTTAAGGCTCCGTGTCTTCATGTGGTTATTGGTCTATAGTTTTGTCTAATGTCATTGCCTGCTTTAGTGTCCTGTTAATGCTAACTTTCATGTAGTCCAGAATTGTTTGAACTTTTGTCTTTTTGGAAGAGTTTGTATACAATTGGTATTACTTCTTCATTTAATATTTCATAAAACTTCTTACATATTCTAGGGATGACCCTCAGCTGATGCCATCAAGAAAAACGAATCTCAGTCCTACAACCACAAACTTAAATATGCTAACAACTGAAATAAGCAAGAAACAGATTCTCCCTGAGACTTTAGAAAGGAACACAATCATGCCAACACTTTGATTTTAACCCTGTGAGACCTCTGTTATATTTATGATACTATATTTGTGTTGTTTAAACCATACGTTTGTGGTGATTTGTCGGGATAGCAATAGAAAGCTAATACATCAACATTATTCTGTAAGCATTTCTTTATTTTCCAATGCAGTATTTCCTCAAATCATGTTGTACCTTTTCTGCCACAACTTGAAAACAGCCTCTTCTCTAAGGAGTTCTGGTTCTTTTTATTAAAAAATTATATAAACCAGTAACTGGGTATTAAATATGCTCAAGCTACTGGAATGCCATGGCTTGCTAGGCTGTCTCAGTAAAGACGGGGAATATGTACACATTTATCTATACATCAAATTCTTTATCTGTAGTTAAACCTACAAATATTTCAGAAGTTGGGTATTTAAAAAGATTCTTAAGACTACAGTAGCATACTCACATAAAGCTTTTATTTATAGGCAAATATGTGGTATAGTAAGAGAATATAACACCAAATGCACAATGAATAAAATAACAAATGGATAAACTGGGCTTCATAAAAGTAAGACAATCTGGTCTAGGGAAGATACTGTTAAGAACTGAAAACAAGGCCAAGCATGGTGGCTCATGCCTGTAATCCCAGTACTTTGGGAGGCTGAGGCAGGATGATCACTTGAGGCCAGGAGTTAGAGACTAGTCTGTGCAACATTGCACGACCTCATCTCTAAATTTTAAAAAAGAAAACAAAAGCCACGGACCATGAGAAAACATTGGCAATGCTTATATCAAATAAGGGATTTGTCTCCAGAAATATTAAGAACTTGTAACCAACCAAATGTTTTAAAAAACAGGCAAAAAATACCAACAGACATTTTACTAACGAAGATATATGACTGACAAGTAAGCACATTAAAAAAAATGCTCGAAACTGAGTCACTGGAAGAATAACTACAATGAAATACTAGTGCACACTTAGTAAAATGGCTAAAATGAATGGCCTATGACTTCTATATATATAAATTGTCAGTAATGTGAAGAAATGGAAAATCTAATATATTCCAGGAGGGAATATGAAATGCTAACCATTTAGAACACAATTTGGCAAGCTTTTAAAATTTCAAACATTTGGATCCACTTACAGAATAACTGAGTGAGGAACTTTACAGTCCTGTTACACAGCCAAAAGGGTGAAAATTATAAAAATGCAATTCAGTCTCTGGAAATGGTCACAAGGGTGTACGGCAAATAAATATTTATTAAAGATCTAACATTCATAAGAACAGCAAAAGTCAGTCACATCTGAACCAAGACCACTCCTTTCCTCCCCCAACTCCAAACTCAGCGAGATTAAAACTCCATTCGACTGGTGCAGCCAAGAATACAGGGCTCCCTCTCTCTGGAGCTCCAAGGCAGAGGGCTATCTTCTCAGGAAGGACAATCTGTCAGGAATTCTCATCCTGCCTCCAGTGTGCATATTTAGATGAATGATGTTCAATTGCCAGCTCCCTCATAAAGGCCATCCTCAGAGTTTCTGTTTTAAGTGAGGTCATATTGATTCAGAGACAGTATATAACCCGCCACCCTAAGGCCTTTCTCCACCCTAAGGCCTTTCTCCTCTCTCTAAACTTTCTGGTGTTGAATAGGGTTAGGCCTTTGGCTGAAACCCTTTTCTATACTCACTACATTGTCCACTTTGCGAACTGTCCAGTGTTGAATGAGATTGGAGGTGTGACTAAGGGATTTCCATCTGTTATCTTCAGGACTTTTTTCCACTGTGAACTTTCTGGTGTTGAATGAGGTTGAAACGCTGGCTAAAGGATTTCACACAATCACTGCATTTCTCCAGTGTGGATCCTTCGATGTTTAAAAAGACTGGAATTGTGGCGAAAAAATTTCCCACATTCCCTGCACTCATAAGGCCTTGCTCCAGTGTGAACTCTCTGATGTTTAATGAGGCTGGAATTCTCTCTAAACAATCTCCCACATTCATCGCACTTAAAAGGCTTTTCTCCAATGTGAACTTTTCGATGTTGCATGAGGGTTGAGCTTTGACTAAAAAATTTCCCACATTCCCTGCACTCATAAGGCTTTGCTCCAGTGTGAACCCTCTGATGTCTAACAAGGGTGGAATTCTCTCTAAAAAATCTCCCACATTGATTGCACTTAAAAGGTTTTTCTCCAGTGTGAACTTTTCGATGTTGCATGAGGCTTGAACTTTGGCTAAAAAACTTCCCACATTCGCTGCACTCATAAGGCCTTTCTCCAGTGTGAACACGCCAATGTTTGATAAGGTTGGACTTGTGGCTATAGAATTTTCCACATTCACTGCACTTATAAGGTCTTTCTCCAGTGTGAACTCTCTGATGTTTCATGAGGCTGGAGTTGAAACTAAACAATTTTCCACATTCACTGCACTCATAAGGCCTTACTCCAGTGTGGATTTTGTGATGCTGAACAAGTGTGGAATTATGCCTGAAAGCTTTTCCACATTCGCTGCATGTAAAAGGCTTTTCTCCAGTGTGAACTCTCTGGTGTTCAATGAGATGAGCATTACGGCTAAAGGATTTTCCACAGTCACTACACCCATAAGGCCTTTCTCCAGTGTGAACTATTTGGTGTATAAAAAGGTTGGACATATCTCTAAATAACTTCCCACATTCACTGCATTCATAAGGCTTTTTCCCAGTGTGTAGTCTCTGGTGCTGAACAAGTAAATAGTTCTGACCAAAGTCTTTCCCACATTCACTGCATTTGAAATGCCTTTTTCCACCATGAAAGGCCTCCCTACTTTTGGAGCTCCTATGTGACTTCTCTCCCGTGTGAGTCACCCGGTGCTTGAGAATAACTGAGCTGGTCGGGAGGTCCTTCCCAACCTCCCTGCTTTGCAAGGACTTCTCTGATAGTTGAACCTTGCAACTCCTCAAAACTGGGACCCTGCCCTCTTGTCTTTTTAAGGATTTCTCTCCACAGTGCTGCTTCTGGTGTTGCTGAACGTTTGAACTGCACAGTCCTACAGAAGCACTCTGCTCAGGAGCCTCCTTGGCCTCGGCTCCATGCCAACAACCTGAAAGAAGAGAAATGTTGATGAAGTAAACGTAGTCTTCGGTGTGAAGCGGCAGCAATCTCACAAATGTGTCTGACATACCCAGTAATTATTACCTGGGGCTGCTGGCAGAAATGAGGGGGGCTAGTTCTCGGCAGGGAAGGGCCTGCTATGCAGTGCTGAACCTGGCCAGCTCAAGGATTTGGGGAGGCCTCATGAGCACCAAGGATGCAAGGATTGGGTATAGCACAGGGAGGAGAGGCAGAGTCCCCAACACAATCCTCTGCAAATGGCTTTCCATAGGACTTTGGCTGCTGGAGGCACAGGAACACGGCCCAGAAGGTTATGTCCAGGTCCAGAGAAAATCAGCTGCAACCAAACAGCTGGTGCTCAAGGACTATGCAAGCATAAGCGCCCACCTCGCCACACATTCAGTGAAAGCCACTGCTGAAAGGTGCTGCTGAGGATTGGGTGAAACATAGAGGACAGAGAGGTGGGGAATGGCCCTGGGTCAAATATCAGAATAGAAATAAATGGGTGACTGAGGAAGAAAAGACAGAAATCAGCAACGACCCCTTGCCTTAGTATCAAAATATCTGTGCCTACTGGTATGATATAAACCCATCCCCGAGTTCATACCTCCCTGAGCTCCACCCATCAAGTACCTCTCGGTATGGCTGAAGTCACAACTTCCGAGGCAGGCATGAAGGGCTCCTTCCATGACTCCAGCTGGGTTATTTCATGGGTCTTGGAAGATGCAAGTCCTAAGGAAAACAACAGGTGAGTGGCAGCACTGAGCCAGAATGACTTATCCCATCATGGACCACAGGAAAGAAAACAACATAGTACAGAAAGGACCTTGGAGGAGGGCCTTACAGGAACAACCCAGTCAAACAGCAATCACATTGGTGACTCAATTGCTGGCACAGACAGACACCCAGGTATGTTGGCTAAGAGAAGGCAGGCAGAATGTAGCGGAATAGAATTACCACAGATCTGCACAGTGTGGCCAGGCCACAGAGAGGCCACCAGGGTTAAGTTCCATCAAGCTGACTGAAAGACTCGTGACCCCCAAACCCTTTCCTACACAGCTCTGGGGCAGCTCGGGGAGAGAAGATGGCAGTACACACAGCCCAGGCCAATTACAATAGCTACTTCAGGATACTGGAGAAGGAATGAGTGCCCACAATTCAGCTTTGGGAAGAACAGACCTGTCACTAGGAAAAGGAGGAAGAGCCAAGTCCAGCCCAGGATGCTGGGGTGGGGTGTGAGAAACTTACCCAGAGAGGCCAGAAGTGAAAAGTTCTCCAGCATCACATTGCGGCAGAGGAGCCTCTGAGTCTCATCAAGCAATCTCCATTCCTCCTGGGAGAAGTAGACAGCTACGTCCTCAAAGGTCACATAGTCCTGCTAAGATGGAGAGAGTTGAGTTTATCTGTGGCCTCCTTACTGGGGAATATAGGCATCCCCCTAAACATCCACCCCTGCTCACCCTCTTCCTCAATCCCCATCTCAGAGGAGAGACCCTGCCCCAGAACCACTGATGCCCCCTCTCTCCTCATGTTCCCACTGAGCAAGCACAGGCAGGTAGGCAGATATAGTCCATTTCAGCTCTGGGCATGGTATGCAGAGTCCTACTCTTCTCTAGCCACACAACTCACCTTGGATCCCCCAGATTGTGTTTCCCAAATACAATTAAATTTGTGTCAGTATTCTCCCTGAAGCCCCCAATACAAGGTTCTAGGGACATCTGTTTACACTCACTAGAATGTGCACATAGTCTATACCACACTCAGTGCCCCCTACACCACCTTATGTGCCTCCCCTAGTGTCACCATATTCTAGTCTACACATGGCATCCAGAGGGCACTTACCAAATGCAATCAGAACTCTATGCCATCCCAGACCTCCAAGGGCACTGACTGCCAGGGGCAGCCCTCAGTCCCACTTTGAAGGCCTCCCTACCTGGCTCTTTTTCTTGCTTTATCTTCAGCTACTTGGAATTGCACGCATATCTGGACACCTCAGCTCGGCTCCTTATTCAACCACTTCGGGTCTGCCTTATACCTGCTGATGCTTCCGCCAGACATAATGGAGATCTAAGGTTGCCTAAGCATTCCCAGTTCAACCTTACCTACAGGTATTTTCTAATGTTGATCACTAAACCTTCTAAACCTCCTGTCATTGGTTGTCAGAAATGAGAACCTCTCCATATAATATATAACCTGGGCTGGGCATGGTGGCTCACGCTTGTAATCCCTGCACTTTGGGAGGCTGAGGCAGGCGGATCACCTGAGGTCGAGAGTTTGAGACCAGCCTAACCAATGTGGAGAAACCTGTCTCTACCAAAAATACAAAATTAGCCTGTGTGGCGATGCATGCCTGTAATCCCAGCTACTCAGGAGGCTCAGACAGAAGAATGGCTTGAAGCTGGAAGCCAGAGGTTGCAGTGAGCCGAGATTGTGCCTTTGCACTCTAGCCTGGGCAACAAGAGCAAAACTCTGTCTCAAAAGAAAATAATAATAATAATATGGTCTGGACTCAGGGCCCTAACTTTGTGTGTCTATCTTCCAGGGAACTCAATTGGAAGGATAGGGAGAATAGCAAGCCTCAAGACACCATAATTCTGAAGACCATGTAGGTAGGAGTTGAGCAGGGTGAGGACCTGAGACATCCTCCACTTACCTCCTCATGGTATGTAAGTAACTCTGCAGTCACAAGAACCTATGGAAAATCAAGGCAATGAGAACCAGACAGTGACGTTGCCAAAGGATCATCCAAGCCCCCTCATCTAGCCTGGAGTCAGGTGTGTCTGAGTATCTACAATCTGGGATTTGGTTCTTAGTGATGCCTCTTACCTGTTGTGTGCCCTTGGAAAAATGCTCAACTTCCCTGTGCCTTGGTGTTGCCATCTGCAACATGGCAATAATAATGGTATTCACTCAATAGGACTATTGTTTGTATCAAACTCATTCTTATGTGTCTAGGATTAAGTATCAACTCCTACTGTACACATAATTAATGCTTCTGTAAACATTTTCAGTGCAAATAAACTGGTAGGTTTTGAAAATATGGGTTTCTGGCTAGGCGCAGTGGCTCAAGCCTGTAATCCCAACACTTTGGGAGGTCGAGGTGGGTGTATCACCTAAGATCAGGAGTTTGAGACCAGCCTGGCTAACATGGCGAAACCTCGTCTCTACTAAAAACATAAAAATTAGCTGGGTGTGGTGGTGCACACCTGTAATCCCAGCTACTCAGGAGGCAGAGGCAGGGGAATCTCTTGAACCTGGCAGGCAGAGGTTGCAGTGAGCAGAGACTGCACCATTGCAGTTTAGCCTGGGCAACAAAAGCGAAACTCTGTCTCAAAAAAAAAAAAGAAAAGAAAAGAAAGTACGGGTTTCTTAAACTTACCTTTAAATTAAGAATGTGATACTTAGGGTGTTTTAATCAAATACTTTCCAGTATATTAAGTTTACAATCAATTATGAAGTGCTTACATCAGTTTAACTTAATAAATCCGTGTGGTTTTATTTGCCCCTGTGTGTATATGAACTATGATCAATTAGTGCTTAAATAAGTACGTACCTCATAAATTCACAAATTAATAAACTGGGACCTGGGTCTGAGAAACCTGAGCGGACACCATTCCTTTTGGCAACCTGGCTGCCTGCTATATATTCCCCTGAAGGCAATCCTGCTGAGAGCCCCTTCTACTGGAGCAGCTGATCATCCCTCCTGTGCTGATGGCTGGGGAAACTTAGGCACCAAAGGGGCTGCTCCACCAGCCTGGCTGACCTTTCCTTTTCTCCACATGGACTGGACATGAGGAACTGCTGAGCCTGGAGTGGCAAACCTATATACTACCCAACACTGCAGTCTCCATCCAGTCCTGGGTCTTTATACTCTATAACCCTCCATTCCTGCAGGCACCAGACAGAACCACTTCAGACCGCAAAACTCCATGCTATAGAGGCAGCCCCGGCCTACAGGCCCATTTCTCCCTTCTCTCACCTTAGGGCCCATCTGAAAGGAAACCTTAAGATTCTCCCCCTAAATAGGAGTCCCACGCCTTACCCTAGTCCAGGCCTCTACCCACCACCTCTTGGATATCTCCAGCCCAGATCCCTCCCCAAACCTCCAGATGTGAGTGAGCAAGCTGCCCATGTGGGCACGACACCTCCATTCTGGGTCATCTCAGGATCACCATGCCCAAAACCTACTCCCTGCACAGCCTTCCCCATCTCCATCCTTCCTGATATTCAGGAACAAACAAACAAAAATGCAGATAGAAATCCAGAATGGTTCTTCATTCCCTACTTTCTTTCATAGTCACATGTGATGCAGCAGGAATTCCTGTCTGTTCAGTTTTTGAAATCCATCCAAGATCTGATCACTTCCCCTCCTCTACGGCCCAGTCCCAGTAGATTCTCCACCAGTCTACTGAATTTACCTACTCACAGGTCTGTCCTCACCCGCCTCACCCCCACCCCACTGTGTTTTGCCTTGAGGGGACTTTGGCAAACTTTGAGATACAGATCGTGTCACGCTTCTGTCTCCAGCCCTCCGCGGCCACTGTGGTGCCCTCAGGATGAAGGGGTGGCTGCTCGGGCTGTCGCGCCACACGCGACTGGTCCCTTCCCAAGCTGCCTACTACGGACACCCGGAGGCCTCAGGTTCGGGACTCGCTGAGCGCGCCTTACATCTTTGTGAGCCGGACCCCTTGCCCTCCATTCCCACCCCATCACACTGCGTGTCAGAAACGGGACCCCGCCCACGAACGCCCCACAGTTCTGCACCCGGGGACCTGAGCAGGCGGCCCTCACAGGGCTTTAGGATTCGGGGGAGGCCGGGAGGACGCGGCGCTCACCTGAGTCGGGTCCCTCAGCGCGGCCGCCGCCATTCGAGCCTGTGGGTAGAGCGGGTAGGGCGACCCTGGGCGCCGCCACCGAGCCTCAGACCCGCCTCTGAGGGGCGAGAACAGAGCACGTCGTCACGGCCCCTTCCGGCGCTGGTCGCCTCAACCCACCACCAGCTTTCCGCGGGTTCACCTGAGAGTCGCGAACGTGAACGCCAAAGAGAGACGCCGGAAATCCCGCCCATTGCGCGTCGCACGCTCGAGCAGGCCTCTTTTTATTGGCCAAGGATCTCCGCCTCCCGGCGCGGCGCCTTTTGGACAATGTAGTTCCCATGGCTCCAAACTTGGAGGAAGTGGGCATAAATTGGAGCATAAATTGGAGATGACAGATAATGATGGAGATGGAGATGATGATGGAGATGGAGATGATGATGGAGATGGAGGTAACGGAATAGGAGATGGAGGAGAAATTAGGGTTGAGAACTTCTCTCGGACTCATCCTGAAGCTGCTGTTATTGGAGATGGGCCTGGATTTCAGTTTCCTGCAACTGATACTCCAATCTTTCCTTCTTTTGAAGGACTTTCGGAGGATCTTCAGAGCCACAATAAAGAGGTTTCTCTGGGCAGAGCCCCGTATACATGCCCAAATTTCCCTTGACAAAGGGACACCCAATATTAAAACTAATGGTGGCGAAGCAATGCCTGACGTATGATAATAAGAAAAGGCTCTGAATTCTGGAGGTAGGTGATGACAGAGTAGGGGAGCCCAAGGATTTACTTTCATCCTTCACCCCATGCGAATTTGTGCTCTTTCCTTCCTTAAAGACCCAACATTGGTGTACAGGCAAAACAATAGGTGGCAAACCCATAAACCAACTCCCCCTCAATTTCTCTCCTTCATCCTTTTCTGCTCCATGTTCCCACTGCTCTTCCATTTCCAAATATAAAGCCAATTCCTCACAGGTAGGTAGAATGCTAGACTGTTGTTTACAACACACAACTATTGATAAAAAAAATTATGTCCACCCTTAATTATGTGTTGTCCCACTACATCCATTCCCATTGAATCTAGTTAAAAATTATTTTCTGTGTAAATGTATTTCCATTACATTTATTGTTTTTGGTTTCAAATAGTTTTATATCACACTTTCATAAAAGACATTGTGTTGTGTATAGAAATCTAGTTTGGTGGTTACTTCTTCTTTACAGAAAGTGTTCTTGTTGCCCTTTTCATTGCTAAATGACATTTGATGAATTCTGTCTTTTCAGATACTTGTAAAACACTTAAAATACTGAATACATCTCTGTATATGGAGTATGACATACTATCTTGAACAAGAGTATTACTTGTTGGGTCTGACACAATCACTGCTGTATAAGTAGGAGAAATATTCCCTGAGGTAACCAGAGACAGAAGCATTATTCACTTACTTCAAGGCCACCTAACATCCCCACTCCATGTACCACATGGTGGTGGTGTCTGAGTCTTTTCTTTCTGGTGCCTGACAGAAAATGCTGAGGCTCGCCAAACTAACTCTGGGGCTTCAGGCTACAAGCATTTGCAAACAATATTTGTTAACTTCCAGCTATAGAAATCTGGGTGACGTTAGTGTATGTGTGTCCATTTTATTTTTTGATGAGCATTCTCTGCGTAAGGAAGCCTGAAATCATGTCTCTAAACATTTCTTTGATGTCACAGACTACGTTCACCAGAAATACAGAAATGGCTCCTTCAAGAGGATGCTAATCTCCGTCTGGGCCTTGGAGAACAAGGGACACCATTTCCAGGCTCCCCTGGCGGTCTTTTCTGGGCTTTTGACCTGGAAGTGACGCGAGACGCCGCTTACTAGTATTGGTGCCGTGGGAACTACATTACCCAGAAAACGTGGCGGCTCTGGGCCAATGAAAGCCCAGGAAATAGGCGTTTCCGTTGGTGAGGACAACGTCAGGGCGGGACTTCCTCTACCATCCTCTGGTGGACATTTTGTTTGCTCTTCCATTAATCCACTGGTTTAGTCTCTGGAACGCAATGTCAGACCTGAGGTGACAGAAAAGGGAAAACGTGAGAGAGTGTCTTCTTCCCTGAAGAGAGGTGGGCCTGAGGCTCGACAGTGGCGCTGCCCGAGTGATTAACCGCTGGACTGGGCCCTGGACGGCTGATCCCAGGTTCCTGCACTTGTCGCCACCCTTCCGTAGTCCACAGGCCTGATGGCGGCGGCTGAGCCGATGGGCCCGGCACAGGTGGGTGCTGCGTCTGCGAGTCTGCGCGCTGACCCCCATCTCTGACTCCGAAAGCTTCGAATAAACCGCTCCTCGGGTTACTGCAGCTCAGGCCCCTGAATCTAGAACAGTGGGAGCGCTCGTGCTTGGGACCCATTTTGACAGCAAGAGTTGAAGGACGTTCCAGGCAGAGAGACCAGTGTATGCAAAGAGTCGGAGATGGTTCACAGCTGGAGCATTGGGGAAAACTGGGCCTTTGGTGTCTGAAAGGATCAGAGTGCTTTATAAGTGATCGCACCTGGAATATCATCCTGAGCATCTGGGTCCCTATTCTGAGGGTGATGGGAGCCATGGAAGGTTCTGAACAGAGGAGAGCCAGAATTCGAGGGTTTAAAAAGTATTCCATAGACTGCTCATGGAGGGCAGACTCTTGTTGGCCATGGGGGCAGATAATGAGCACTGTTCCGAGGTAACACAGTTAAGAGGCATCCTTGAAGATGGAGGCACAGAGGGCAGACATTCAACTCCCAGGCACATTGTAACAGGGTAGGAATATGGGATGGGGTTGAGCCGTTGGGGTTCCCTCAAGACTGCTTGGCTCTCACAGTCTCCCTCTTCCCCACAGGTTCCCATGAACTCAGAAGTAATTATGGACCCTATACAGGTGAGGGGAGAATGTCCATGCTCTCACCGATCCCACCCCCACCCAACACGCTGTCCAGCATTGTGGTGTTATATAGAACACTCTCCTGCTACTCTCCAGTTTCTTGGGTCTGAGGACTCTGGAGAAGCCCCAAGCCCAGGGTCCTGACTCCGGGCCAGGGGTTTTATGGAGGGGTTTCCATTTCTGCCAACCATTGGAATAAGGTTGGAAGGTTGTTCCAGGCACAGGAACCAGCCTGTGCAAATACTTAGAGGTGAGACTGAGATGGGAGTTTTCAAGAAATTGCAGGTCTCTGTCATGTCTGGTGGGAACCAAGAGCAAAGGGGCGGGAATCATCCTGAAATGGCTTACAGATGATTAATTATGTAGATTGGGAGTTAAACGAGAATATTCATTTCACAGTGGTAGTGCATTTAGTAAGCCAGGAAAATGATGGTGGAGAGCCAGAGTTAAGATAACTGTGAGATAACTGTGAGATAACTGTGATCCAAAGAGTGATGTACATATGGAAAGAAGTGTAGACTGATGACCTCTGGGCTTAAAGGAGAAAGGCAAGCCCATCTTTGGTTGTCTGGTAAGCATGATGTTAGTGACCCCAGAGGAATTTGCTTACAGAAGGGTGAGGCCCTGTATGCTAGGCACAGAGCTTAGAGGGTAACAACTTCTTCACCTGCCTGTGGTTGCTATGGGTAGACAGAGTGATCATTGGGACCATGAGGAGAGAGAAGACACCAATGACACCTGGTCCTGATATTTCTTGAGCTGAGAAGTTAGGTAGGAGGGTATACAGGAGGGAGATGTGTGGGGGCATGGATGGGGGTTCTTGGGAGAGATGCTGCTCATGGACTTGGCTCTCCCAATTGTGGCAGGGGCAGGTGAACTTTGAGGACGTGTTCGTGTACTTCTCCCAGGAGGAGTGGGTGCTCCTTGATGAGGCTCAGAGGCTCCTGTACCGTGATGTGATGCTGGAGAACTTTGCACTTATGGCCTCTCTGGGTAAGGCCGTCACATCCACCCCAGTGACTTGGACTGGGCCCTGCCCTTCCCCTTTTTTTCAGGGCATCCTTGTCCTTCCTACATCAGAGCCATGGACACTGCCTCATTTCTTAGTTCCTGGACTAAGGAACTGTGAACTGTGAGTGCTGGGCTTGGGCTGTGTGCACTCCTACCTCCTCCTTCTGAGCATTCCCAGCACTTGCTGTCTCAGAGCCTTGCAGGGATGGATTCAGGAGTTAAGCATTGTATTTTCAGCCCAGTGGGTCATATCCATCTTGTCCTTTCCCTGTCTGAATGCCTCTGTCTGTATCCATGACACCTCTGTGCCTGGGACTCTGCTCTTCCTTTAGCTGAGATTTCCTGTGGCCTGCCTATGCCAGGAATTGTAGGGACCATTATGGTCGCTACTTGCTAGGACCACTGCGCTATTCCTGCAAGACCCTACTCTGAGATTATTTTAATAATGTTTAGTTTTCTATTTAGGTTACCCAGACCAGTGCTGTTCTATCTTTCCCTTAGGACATACATCTTTCATGTCCCACATAGTTGCCTCACTGGTGATGGGTAGTGAGCCCTGGGTACCTGACTGGGTGGACATGACCCTACCTGTTGCCACAGAGACTCTAGGTGGGAGTGGCCCTGGTGAGTGGGAACTGGGGAAAAGTGTGATGTCAGGGCTGGGTTCATATTGTTCCATAGCTTCTTTGTGTCTACAGTTGTATTAGTGCTAAGGCCACTGGGCCGTACTTCATTTTTATCTACTTTCTCATTTATACACTTGCCTTTCATACTCTGGCCTTTGGCCTCTGGATGTTCCATACCTCTCCCTCCATGTCTCACCTGTTCCTCTCCATGGCTTGTTCTACAGTGCCTTCCAACATTGGCCTGTACTTAGTGTTTCATGAGATGTGTAGCCCAAATAGTCCTTAAACATTAACTACTGAGTAGCTCAGTAGATTTGATTTTCTTTGGTGTGGACCATAACCTTCTGCACCACTCTCACCTGTCCCCAGCAGCCAAGAAAATCTGATTGTGAATGACTTTGAGACTTGCCTCTTTTTCGTGCTGTACCCCACATCTTTGTCCTCTCCCAGTTGAGGCCTTCTCCATTCTATGACATTTAGATGCCAACTACTGTATAGTACACATTTGCTGAACTTGAGTTTGGACCCTTGTCCTAACAACACTCCTATGACCTTGGTCTTAGTTGCATTAGACACATATTTGTAGTGAGGCTGCCTCTCTTCCACCTGTGTCAATTTGTACTTCACCAGCATTTCTCTGCTTTCAGGTTGTTGGCATGGAATGGAGGATGAAGAGATACCTTTTGAGCAGAGCTTTTCTATAGGAATGTCACAGATCAGGATTCCCAAGGGA